GGGGCGGGGGAGAAGGGGCGGCAGGGAGGGCGCACGGGAGGGTCGGGAGCGGCGACCTGGCTGAGTGCAAGATGCCGCCGCCGGACTGAGGACGAAAGCCGCGGCCGGACCGCAGGAGCTCAGCGCTTCTGGCTCCGGGTGGCAGGGACGGGGTCAGGCGAGCGCGCTCACTTCTCCACACAGCCCGGTGCCCGGCCCAGCATCCCCGTCGAGCGCCCACTCCACACCGGGCTAGAGCTTCGCTCCTGAGCTCAGCGCTTCTGGCTCCGGGTGGCAGGGACGGGGTCAGGCGAGCGCGCTCACTTCTCCACACAGCCCGGTGCCCGGCCCAGCATCCCCGTCGAGCGCCCACTCCACACCGGGCTAGAGCTTCGCTCCTTCTGCCGCGGCGCGCGCCCCGCCTCTCGTTTTATACTCTCCTCCCTGCCCCCATCGCTCCGCGGGGGTGCGCGCGCCCGTCGGCGTCACACAGCTCGGGGCGGTGTAACCATGCTCCGCCTCCCGGCCCCGCACTCAGACCCTCGCGGGCGGGCTCCACCCGTGCCCTGCCCCTCGACGCCATTGGCCAAGTCCCGCCTGCCCATGTTCTGACGGGAGACGGGCGGCCGGGCTGGGGAAGGACAACCCCTCGGGCAGCGGGAGGGCCAATGAGCCAACGACTTGGAGAGGTTGTGGGTGGGACCTAGAGGAAGTTTGGAAAGGGATTGGGGGGCAGACGTGTCAATGGGGCGAAAGGGGTGGGGTAGGGCGGCTGACGCCAGGTCTGGGCGGAGAGCGCTGGGTAGGAGGGGGAAGGGAGCGGAGCAGGTGGCGAAGAGCGGGGCCGAACCGGGAGGAGGGCCCGAGGCCCGGAGAGGGAGGGGAACGTGCACAGAAAATGCCCTACCCGAGTGGGACTGTGGCCGAGAAATCCCGCTCGTGGACGAGCTACCGAGTCGGCCTCCAGCACACTCAGGGGAGTCCGGAGAAAGGGCGAATAGTGACTGGGACTCGAGCCCCGATTAAATGAATACTGATCACCGCAGGGCCCAGGCCAACTGCCACCCAGGGGGCAGCAACTGCAGAACCCAAAGCTGCCTCGCCGGGCTGGGGGTGGGGAAAGGAGGTCACCTCGCCACACCTCCCGCCCAGGTGACAGTTTAACTGCCTCCGCATTGCCACATTAGACCTCCCGTGCGACGCGGCAACAACTCGGACTTGGGGGTGGCTTGAGCCTGTAAGAAGAATCACGGTTTATCCCAAATGTCCCAGCCCAGGCCTCCATGCTCAGGGCGTGGCGACACGATGACACGAAGCCCAACTGCGTACGTATCTGAGCACGAGTGTGTATGTGCATGCGTGCGTTTCGAGGGCTCTAACAGGGGTGCACAGAATGAACACGGCTCCTCCCTGGAGTGCGCGTCGGAGACCGTTTTCGGTTGAGCTATGTGTAGGTACCTAGGGAGGGGAGAGAAAGAAGGCTCAAGGGGGCGAGTAAGCGCCTTTTCTCACAACCTGCAGCAGAGAAGTACACGGAGTTACACTGGGAGGGGAATCGAGCGAACCTTTCTGCTAAAAATATTACTCACAGGTAGCAACGACGTCTGATTGGCCACTCTGTCCCTTAGCAACCAGGCGATTGGCCGTCCGGTATCCAGGAGACCGACGTCAAAGCCTGCTGGCAGGAGGGAAGGGAGGAGGATGCCTAGCCTGAGCGAAGGAGGGGAGGGGGAGAAAGAGAGGCAATGAATGAAACGCCCATCGCCTGTCCTTCCCCTTTCCCCTTTCATCCGCACGCAGTGAGCGCTTCCTGGAAAAACACCAACTGGGGCGCCGCCTTCCCCTCAAAACTGCAGAGCCTGCACCCTCAACCTGCTATGAGGAAATTAAGCCGCATCTCACCAAGGAGTGGGGTGCCCGCGGGGCAGGTCTGTGTAGATGCACTCCTCGGGCACAACCCGCTTTACACGTCAGGCTTAGCGGTCGCTTTATGGACGCAAAATCTGGACCTAACTTCTTCTCTTGTGCCCTCCAGCCTCTGTCCTTTAAGAAGGAACCGCATTGAGAAAGGGTATTTCTAAAGGCTCAATGCGTGTGAGAAGGGGAGGGAAGATGGGCTTGTGGAATGGACTGAGGGTGGGGAGTGGTCAGTGAGGGTGGGGACTGATTGCATGTTTGTTGTATGGATTCCTAAAACTCGGCTTTTTTTTTAGACTATAGTTTTAATCAGCGAGTCTTCTAATTCTGACTTTTGAAAAGTATTTGGATTTTTTTAGTAGCAGACAGGGAAGAGTGGAATTGAATCGTGAAATTGTGGCAAGCTTGTTAGATTAAAATCCCCTTCCTCTGCATTGAAATAGTTTATAATATAAATGATTTGTTCAGTGTTTTCTTCCTTCTGCTCATTTGTATGTTTGGGGTTTTCCATAATGAACATTAATTCCATTTGTAATACTAATGAGTTATTTTATTTTATAATTAGTGGAGAACAGAAATTGTAAGAAACCAAGCAGGATATTTTGGGAATGGCTTACCAACAGAAACACTTGATTTTCATGTGCCCCAGAAGCTACTTTCTCTTATGATTAGGCAAATACTGTTACTACCCCAAACCTAGAATTGCAGGACCATATGTCGGACCATGTGTCTTGATTTGTTATTTGGAAAATACATCACTATAATTAGGGGAGCCTATTAGGCTTGGCTGAGATTAAAATGTCTAGCCAAAGATAGATGAATTGTAATTTTGTCAATCCTATCTATACTTTTCAAGAATTCTCTAAAGGGAAGACACAAATTCTCTTTTCTGAAGGTTCCTGATCTATAAACCCAGGTTTTATTTATACTTACTGTATTTTAAATTTATTTATTTTTAAAAATTATTTTATTTAACTTTATTTATTATTATTATTTTAATATTTGCAGAGAGAGAGAGACAGAGGGAAAGTGAGAAAGTAAGCCTCCAGGTCAGGGACTTGAACTACAGCCGGCCACATGGGAGTCCAGTGCCCTTAACCACCACACCAGTTACAAGGTACAAAATTTCTTTTACCCAAGTTTTGCACTTTAATGAGCCCTTTGTATGGCTTATTACAATGGAACATTTCCTTTGGCATTGTTCAGGGGAGTGAAATGGTTTTACTAAGAGTGTAAAAAAAAAATGTGATGTTAGGCTCGATTGTGGAATTTGATTGTGGAATCTCAATCAAAAGGCGGTCCTCTCTCAGAGTAAATGATAATCACTCGTGAGCACTGTTCTTGCCTCTCACATCTTTGCATTTCACACAATTCCCAGAGAGGGTGCTTTACCTTAAAGCTAAACAAATAACTTACAATATTATTGCAAAATATAGTTCTCAACAGTGCCCTGAATTCTTACCTCACCTACACACACATATACACACACAAACTCACATGCTTCACCTTGATTTCTGTGAGAGATACACCCTAATTTTTTTTTTTCTTTTGCTAGAGGGTGCATGCATTTGCTGGAGAGAAATGGAGACAGAAAGAGAAAGAAAGAGAGAGAAGACAGCCCCCTCCGTGGGGGATGATCATACCACAACCCCTTCTTCATTTTTCCTCTCGTGATTTTGGGGGTGCATGCACATATACATCTGACATATTTATCAAGCCAGGTCACGACTCCAGCGACACAGTTGGCCATGTGGGAACAAGACATCTGAACCACACTACCGGCTGGCCCCTTCTCATCATTTGTATTTATGGTTTTTTAGATGGTCATGCAGTACCAACGATAGCATATGTACTTTAGATTTAATTTGAAGAAAATCACAAACTAACCATTTGGTTATTAAGAAAATCTAATAAACCAGTTCTTTCCTTAACATTTCTCTACAAAAGGCAATGCACTCGTGTCTGAAGAAACCTCAGTGTGGTTTCCTGTGGCTTCTTCTGGGTTTGTGAGGGGAGAGTCACCCTTTTCTAGAAGAAACTGGCACGCAGACATTTGTAATGAAAAGATAACTAGATAACGCTGAACGAACCCATTTATCTTCCAAACAGGTGATCCCACGGGAGCAAATGGGTGTGATGGGAGAAAGTCTCCCTATAACTTGCCCACTCCCTATGATCTGGATGAACTCAAGTCCAAACTGAGTCTTGACATTTTTTTCCATCAGCCAAAGAGGAGGGCTGTGTTTTCAGCGAGAGATTCTGGTGCAGATTCTAGGAATGATACGGTGTTCATGACATTCTCAGTACAAAGAACGTTTATTTTAAGTTCTCTGTGAGCGAACGTTATTAGAGTACTTTAAATACCTTTAAAACTGGAGTGCATATGTTATGGTGCAGCTCCTCTTGCTAAAATAGAATATTGAAATAGAGGGTTGTGGCAGACACCGTTGCTAACTCGCTCATTTCCCATACCCCATTCCCCTGCCCCTTCCTTATCTTCTCGACTAAAGAGGTTGTAAGAGCTAAATGTGTGTTTTCCTAGACTTCATTGCAACAGAGGTGGCATT